ACTAGTTTGAATTTGGAATTTAGGACTAATAGTTTGAATTATATTTGATATTTTAGGACTAATTAATAGTTTGAATTTGGGACACTAGCTAGCTGGTTTGAATTTGGAATTTTAGGGATTTGAATTACAACTTAATTAGAACTTATAATTAATTATAACTTGAATTTACTATAAATTGAACTTAATTAAGAATATGAACTTGAAATTAGAACTTGAACTTGGAACTAATTAGCTTGAATATATAACTTATTAAGTTTAGAAATTAGATATGAACTTGAATTGAAACTTGAACTTATTAAAACTTTAATATATATATATATATATATAAACTAATATTCTTGGATTTGAAGTTTATATTTATCTAATTAAAGAACTTTTCGTGCTAGGAAACTGAGGTAGCTCAACATTTAAAAAAGTTGATACAAGACTATATTGCTTCTTTCATCAAAGTTGGAGATAAGGTTGGTGCTTCTAAATTTCTTAAGTTCAAGTACAATTGTTTTCAATGATGTGTTTGTGTCCATCTAGTATTAATACTTAGCTTTAATTTTGTGATAATTTTTTTTGTGTCCATCGAGTGTTTGTTAAGCATAAGTACCAACACTAGTTGATCCTATTGAAGACAAAATTGATTTTCTTGCAAGATCGATTTGTGTCCATCTAGTGTTGACACTTGGCTTTAAATTTAGAAATAATATATTTGTTAAGCATCAGTACCAACACTAGTTGATCCTATTGATGACAAAATTGATTTTCTTGCAAGATCGATTTGTGTCCATCTAGTGTTGATATTAAGTTTTAATTTAGGAATAATGTGTTTGTTAAGCATAAGTACCAACACTAGTTGATCCTATTGATTTTAAAATTGATTTTATTGCAAAATCGATTTGTGTCCATCTAGTGTTGACACTTAGCTTTAAAAAGTTGTTAAGTTCTTAAGTTGTTTAAATAAGTTAAATTAAATAATGTGGTTTTGTTGATGGATTTAATTGTTGGAATTAATTAAACTAGTTCAAGTTAAAAAGTTGTTAAGTTGTTTAAATAAGTTAAATTAAATAATGTGGTTTTGTTGATGGATTTAATTGTTGGAATTAATTAAACTAGTTCAAGTTAAAAAGTTGTTAAGATGTAAATAAGTTAAAATAAATAATGTGGTTTAGTTGGTGAATTTAGTTGTTGTATTAAGTCAAAACTAATCTAGTTAAAGTTGTTATGTTGTTTAAATAAGTTAAAATAAATAATGTGATTTAGTTGGTGGATTTAGTTGTTAGAATTAAGTCAATACTAAACTAGTTAAAGTTATAAATTTGTTAAGTTGTTTAAATAAATTAAATTAAATAATGTGGTTTAGTTGGTGGATTTGTTGAAGGGGATGGATGATAACTTCTCATCATTGAATAGTAAATTGAACTCTCATGCCAATGCCATCAAGATACTTGAAGGTCTGCTAAGTCTACTTTCAGCTCAATTGAAACTAAAGTTAGCAATGGAAGATAACAACAAAGAGTTGGTTGTGGTTACTCGTAGCGGAAAAGTAGCAATAAATGGTATGATGGGAAATGAAGAGCCTCAAAAACACGGAGATGATCGAGGCATGGAGGAGACTGATACACCTATCCATCACAACATTGCCCAAAAATCATAAAAAGATGCGGAACAACACGTTCAAATCCATAAAGTCATGCATCCTTTACCTAAAATACCTACCCCATTTCCTCAATGCCTAAAAAAGAAGAATGAGGATGAGAAATTCAAAAAGTTCTTATCGGTGTTTAAGATATTATCAATAAATCTTCCCCTTGTGGAAGCATTGTTGGAAATGCCGGGGTACGCCAAGTTCATGAAAGAGTTGGTCACAAAGAAAACGAGTTTGGATTTTGAGACAATTGAAGTTTTCCATAGTTGTAGTGCAATTATGACTAAGGAGCTGATAAAAAATGAGAGGATCCTAGGGCATTCACCAATCCTTGCACCATAGGCATGCTCCAATTCGGTAAAGCTTTATGCGATTTGGGAGTAAGCATCAACTTAATGCCCTATGCTATATACAAACAACTTGGGTTGGTTGAACCGAAAGCAATAACAATGAGACTCTTGATGGTAGACCGTTTAATCAAACATCCCATAGGGATACTTCATAACATCTTGGTGAAGGTCGATCAGTTCATTTTTCCAGCTGATTTTGTGATTTTAGATTGTGAAATAGATGCTTAAATTCCCATTATTTTGGGAAGGCCATTCTTGGCAACCGGGAGAGTGTTGGTGGATGTTGAAAGTGAAGAATTGAAGTTTCAGGTGAACGAATATGAAGTAACCTTAAATATTTGCAAATCCATGAAACACCCAAGTGATATTCATGTGGTGTCTACTGATGATGTTATTGATGAGGCGGTAGCTAGTTTAAGCCATTTGATGTGCACGAATGAACCCCTTGATGTTGTACTTGCTAATTATGATGAATCCGAAGTTCAGGGCTATGAGGAAGTAGTACCTGCTTTGTTGGGATTATGAGGGTATTCAAACACTCCAATCAAGTTGGATATTGACCTAAAAAATAGACAGAGTCCTCCTGTAAAGCCATCAATAGAAGAACCACCTAATATGGAATTGAAAGCACTTCCCTCTCATCTCCGATATGCTTTCTTGGGGGTAAATAACACTTTATCAGTGATCATTGCAACTGACTTGCTTGAATGGCAGGTGAAATTGCTCCTCGAAGTGTTGCGAAAACATATAAAAGCTATATGATGGACCATCGCTGATATAATGGGCATCCCTCCCGGTATTTGTACTAACAAAATTCAGCTTGGTAATGAGTGTAAGCCTAGTGTATAGCATTAGCAGAGATTGAACCCACTAATGCAAGAAGTGGTAAAAAGGAGATCATCAAGTGGTTAGGTGCATGTGTGATCTACCCTATTGCGTACCGAAAAAGGGAGGTATCACCGTAGTCCCAAATGAAAAGGGGGAGCTTGTGCCGACTAGACCGCTGACTAGGTGGAGAGTATGCATGGATTATCAAAAGCTAAATTTGTGGACTAAAAATGATCACTTTCTTATGCCTTTCATGATCAAATGCTTCACCGGCTATCAGAGAGAGGTTGGTACTGCTTTTAAGATGGATACTCCGGTTACAACCAAATCTCTATTGCGCCGAAAGATCAAGAGAAAACCACCTTCACCTGCCCTTATGGAATGTTTTCATTTAAAAGAATGCCATTTGGGCTATGTAATGCCCTGGCAACATTTCAGTGTTTCATGTTATCTATCTTTGCGGACATGGTAGAAGATTCTATGGAGGTATTCATGGATGACTTCTCAGTTGTAGGGGATATGTTTGAAGAATGCTTGACGTATTTAGGGCAAGTTCTCTAAAGATGCGTGGAAACAAACCTGGTTCTGAATTGGGAGATATGCCACTTCATGGTGAAGGAAAGTATAGTTCTTCGGCACAAGGTTTCACAAAAGGGATTGGAAGTTGATAAGGAAAAAAAATGAGGTGATTGAGAAACTACCTCCGCCGATTTTAGTGAAGGGTGTTCGCAGTTTTGTGGGACATGCTGGGTTCTACCAGAGATTCATCAAAGACTTCTCAAAAATTGCACACCGCCTATGAAAGCTCTTGGAGAAAGAAGTGAAGTTTTATTTTTATGAAACTTGTATGGTTGTGTTTCGATGCTTGAAAGAAAAATTGGTATCTACCCCGGTCATCATCACCCCTGATTGGTAAGAATCTTTCGAAGTAATGTGTGATGCTAGTGGCACAACATTAGGGGTGGTATTGGGACAGAAACACAATAAATTATTTCATCCTATCTACTATGCTAGCAAGACTCTAAATAGTGTTCAACGTAACTACACTGTTACTGAACAAGAGTTACTTATGGTGGTTTATGCATTTGAAAAATTTAGAGCATACTTTTTAGGCACGAGAGTGATTGTGCACACTGACCATGCTGCATTCCGTTACCTAATGGCAAATAAGGATGCCAAGCCAAGGTTGATAAGATGGGTGCTTCTCTTGCAAGAATTTGATTTTGAGGTCAAATATAGGAGAGGGTGTAAATATTAGGTGGCTGACCGCTTATCAAGATTAGAGGGTAAGGAGTATGACGAAGCTAAAGTTGACATAAATGATTCTTTTCCCAATGAGCAAGTGTTTGCGGCAACTCTCACCCAACCTCCATGGTATGCCGATTTCGCAAACTACATAGTGTGTGGATTGATGTCGGATGAAATGAACTTCTATCAACAAAAGAAGTTCATGTTCGATGTTAAAAGGTACTTTTGGGATGAACCATATTTGTTTCGGGAGTGTGCAGACCACATCATTAGAAGGTGTGTTCCGGAAGAAGAAGTGATAGAAATTCTAAACGCATGTCATGCTTCACCAGTGGGGGGTCATCATAGCGGTGTGCGTATAGCCGCTAAAGTGCTCCAAAGTGGCTATTATTGGCCATTTTTCTACAAGGATGTGCACAAATTTGTAAAGAAATGCGTTCAGTGCCAAAAGCAAGGCGGAGTGTCCAAAAGATACGAGTTACCCCTCACTCCCATCTTAGAAATTGAACTATTCGATGTTTGGGAATAGATTTCATGGGTCCATTTGTGAGCTCATATGGGAATAAATATATCTAGTGGCTGTGGATTATGTTTCCAAATGGGTAGAAGCTGTTGCACTTCCAAAAAATGAAGGGAAAAGTGTGGTTCAATTTCTGAAATGTTACATCTTTACTAGATTCGGTACCCCTAGAGCTATCATTAGTGATGGTGGATCCCATTTTTGTAATAAATGGTTCTCAGCTGCATTAAGCAAGTATGGGGTGAAACACAAGGTAGCAACTCCATATTATCCCCAAACAAGTGGTCAAGTTTAAGTGTCCAACCAGGAGATCAAGAGCATCTTGGCCAAGACAGTAAATGCTAATAGAATCGACTGGTCTCGAAAGTTGGATGGCGCATTATAGGCATATCGTCCCGCCTACAAAACACAAATAGGGATGTTACCGTATCAGCAGGTTTTTGGAAATTCTTGCCATTTATCAGTCGAGTTAGAACACAAAGCAATGTGGACATTGAAAGCTTTGAATTTGGACTGGACAAGAACCTCTAAAGAGAGAGTGGAGCAGTTAAACGTGTTGGAAGAATTCAGGTTGAGAGCTTACAAAAGTTCAGCTCTTTACAAAGAAAAGATGAAGAAGTGGCATGATGCTAAAATATTTAAGAGAGAGTTCAAAGTGGGAGATCCGGTGCTACTCTACAACTCCCGTCTTAGACTTTTTCTCGAAAAGCTCAAGTCCAAATGGTCAGGACCATTTAGAGTGACACGAGTGTTCACTAATGGTTCCATCGAAGTTGAAGGTCAAGAAGGACCAGCTTTTAAGGTGAATGGGCAACGTTTGAAATCATACTTTGGCGAATGCCAAGAGATCTCCCTGATTGAGGTGGTGAACTTGGAAGATGCGTAAGGGAATTTCCATGTAGTGTCACGACGTTAAATAAGGCGCTTCTTGGGAGGCAACCCAAGTTTTAGTGTTTTAAATAATATGTGTTGATGTTGCAGGTGAAGGATACTGAGCGAGGAAGATTCACTCGGCGAATTGCCGAGACAGTTCAATGATCACGATGTAGCTCGCCTTGTGAATTGTGAAGATGAGGCTAACGTTCTGGAATATTTGGTGAGAGAACTATGTCCCTCGGTGTATCGCCGATGTGCTTAGGCGAATCGACTTGTCTCGCCTTTCTACTTTAGCACTTGCAGTGTAGTTTAGTGATCGATTCGGTGGTTCTCCACATCCAATCTGTGAATCACTGAACGATTCAACGACCTTCTGCGTCTCCACCAATTTTCTCTCTTTCGAGAGTGTCATGCACTGCAAATAAGAGTGAAAACCCATTTTTCTTAGGCGCATCACCGACTCATTCCGCGACCGGCTCCCTACCTCGCCAATGGACGCTTAGTGAAGATTCCTTGCCATCTTGCCCTGCATTTTTACATACTAGAATTTTATTTTTGGTTGCTAGTTTTCTTTAATTATTTTAGATTTTATCTTTACTTTGTTTGAGGTAGTGTTCGTTCTCTAGTCACATTGAGGACAATGTTGAATGCTGTTGGTGGGGGTGGTTCTTAGTTAATGACCCCTCTCGTTTGTATTAAATGTGGATGTTCTCTTAAAAAATTGAGTATTGATTTTGATCAATACTGATGACTCAAATAGTGCTCATAATTGAACAAACATGAATGTCCAGCTACGATGAGGCCAAATGAAGTTGCATAGACAATATGTGAACTTTTTGCATCTCGTTGTGACAAGCCAATTATTGAATTGAGTCTCATTGTACACTAGCGAAAGTGTGGAGTCTTGTTTGACTTTGGTGTCAATGCCTTTTGTCATGACCTTACCGTGAACCATGTGTGATGACACCTAGAATTTGCCCCGTTAGTTCGATTGACTAAGTGATGCGAACTCTTGAGATGATCTTAGACAACTTTAAAGAGTGTGAAACAATTTGACATTATACCTCTTTTTATGGCCCGCCTTGTGAGTGTGTGAACCTCTTTTGAACACCCTTTGATCCTTAACCTTTTCTTGGAAGAAACTTGATGAAAACATAACCTTTCTTGATCCATTACCCATAATCATCATGATTTGGGGTCTGTTTGAATAGCCAACTTAGACCAAAAACCTAAGTTGGGGGTGTGGTAAAAAGAAAAGTTGAATCAAGAAAATGCAAAGAAGTCCCTTTTACCCATGTTTTGAGAAAAATGGAACCCCTCCATACAACAAAAAAGATAAAAAGAAGAAAAGAATGAAAAAGAAATGAAAAAGAAAACGTGTGGAATAAAGTGTGAAAATGCAAAAAGAAACGGGGTTTCCGAACAATCTATGGAAAAGTGAATAATGGGATGACTTATGAGCACGAATAAAAATGATGAAAAAAGAGGAAAGAAAGTGTTGTTCACACTACATATCACGAGGATAGAAGTAGTTGAGCCTAAATGACCATATCTTTACACTAAGCCCCGTGACAAGCCTTGAAAAGACCTTTTTTTTTATCTTGAGTGAGCTGAAGCAAATGTCAATCGGAAAATAAGGGCAAACCTATGGGTGAAACCATGCATTGTGTTTCATCTTTGTGAGTGTGAATGTTGATCTTTATACCAGAACTATAATTGATCAAACCACTATGTGTGAATATGAAATCATTCTTTGTGTGAGGGCATTTGATCACTTTTGTTGAGCTTTTACTTGCATTTGAAGCAAGTATTGTGAGCTTGAGATTCTTTGGTAATGCTGAGTCACAACTTGAATCTTTGAGTGCACAATTGATCTTTGCATGAGTAAATTGATTCTTTTTGCGTGCATTCATAAATTCATCTTGTGTAACACTGTTTGATACATCCTTTTTGAATTGCTGAACGTGATTTTACTTGAGGACAAGCAAACGTTTAAGTTGGGGGTGTTGATGAATCCACGATTTGTACTCATTTAGGGTTTATTTTAATAGATTTAATGTCCGCAAATGCATATTTTTTGTCAATAACTGATGTAAATCCATGAATTTTAGGTATTTGGATCGAGGAACAAAACATGGACACTATTGGGCAATAAGGAACAAAGCAGCTGAAAGAACATAGAAAAGAAGTCCTGATGATCGCCTAACCCATTGGGCGAGTCGCCGAATGGTCAGGATCTTGCCCAAAGTTCCAGCGTGCCAAGCCGTGTAGGAGAAAATCAAGTCGGCGATGAAAAGGAGTAATTGGTGAGTCACTGAACGGGTCCGCGATGCCATGCTAGATCGCCTAAATTTATAGTATATGGGTTTGAATATAGTTGACTTAGGCGAGTAGCAGTGTTACAAGGCATCACCGATTGATTCCGCGAAGGATGAGTAGTTCGCCGAAGGTACTAATAAAGGTGCAATTAAATGCTGAAAAGCAAGATGAATGGAGAAAAGGTAACTCGCCGAACCAATCGGCGATCCCGATCCGGATCGCCTAAAATTACAGTAGCTGGACCAAGAAGTCTAGAAAAATAAAGGCGAGAGGAAGGATATTCAGCGAATTGCCAAACTGTTGGCGAAACACGACTTACTTCACCGATTGGACTTAAATATTCACACACCAGAATTGCTTAAATGGATTTTTGATAAAGAGACAACGTATTCAGAAATGGGAAGAAGAAAATATTGATAGAGAGAACACTACGAAAGGCTTTTTCTTAGTGACTTAAGCAAGATTTTCAGAGAGATTTTGTAAGAGAGGAGATTATTAATTGATTTTCATCTATAATTCTCGTTTGTACCCAACTATGGGAGTGATAATTGATTTTGATTTTCTTATTTTTGATATGAGTGGCTAAAAGCCTTCACTTGGGGTTTTGATCATGAAGCCAATTGTTGAATTTACTTAGTGGGTATTCTTTAATTGCGAATAATTGTGTTAGTTTGAAGTGGGTCTAAGTTGTTGCTATGTTTCGAGGTTGAATTGCATGATTTCGTGTAACAATTTCAGTGTTATGCACTTGCTTGAGAAAGAGAGAGGTGTAGAACCAAGGTGGCAATGTTAGCGTCCTTAGTAGTGGGTTTCTTTGGTTTCAGCTTGAGAGAGTGAAATAAGTGATCCATCCTTTGTATTCAGCTCGAGAGAGTGAATTTGATGAGGGCAAAGAGCTGGGCATCTTTCGATTGGTGTTGAAGTTCGAGATAATTCAACATAGAAAAGGTAATTGTTCGAGAAAAAGTTACTTTATATATGGTTTGACCTACCCACAATAAATTATCCCATTGTGAGCAGTAACGTCTATCCGCTTCATTAAGATTTGACAATTGGCTGATCCATTCCCCAAATTTTACTCTACTATTTGATTGTTTATGTTGAAGTGTGAATTTGGAGTGATACTTAAAACCCTAAGTTTGAAATTTAAATATTAATTGTGCAAGAAATGTTTGATTGAAGAGGTTGTCATTATACTTTTATTATTGACTTTGAAGGAAGTACTACTCCCTGTGGGAAGGAGCCCAACTCACGTAGTTGGGTAATGATAGTGATGAACGATCGTTGGCACTTAGTATTGGATGAAGGGCCCTGATACGTTAATCAAGGGTTTAGAGATATTGGATTCCATCATCGTGGCTAGGACCATATTAGATCAAGAAGAAGAAGATTGGTGAGTCCTCATAGTATTCGAGGGCTTGACCATATGTCCTTTATGTCTTTCTTTTATGTTTTAGACTTATGTAAGGGCTATGTCCCTAAGATTGTATTTAAGAGTTTTAATTCAAACGCTATAGATGGTTTGAGACATTGTGTTATAGACTCTCTCTCATTTCATAAAAGACTTCAATTGTAAATAAGAGTTTTGAATTCCGCACTATTTACCTATGATCTTAAGTATATGATTATGCTAAGGGCCTGTATGAGACCCATTCGGGGTCGAGTATGTCGCGTTGTGTCTACGGGTTACCCCTGAATCGTGACAAACTTGGTATCAGAGCATAAGGTTTTGGTATAATTTTAGTATGTCTCAAACCAGATCTAGTAGAGTCTTGCTCATAAATGTGAAGCGTGCCACATTTTATGAATAGGAGGCTATCAAACGTTAGGAAAAACTTCAGTTCTTCATTCCCCAAGTCGTGCCATAGAGCTTAACTCCATAAGGTCTTTATCCTGTTTCTTATCCGATGGTCTTTAGGGTATGACCACTTGAAGGGCTCATGTTACAAGGATCGAATGAGAAAAGGTTAGTAGTGATGCCAATAATGGCTATATGACTAGATGAGTCTTGTTATGATAGATTAGAATGATGCCTTATGGTATATATGGGTTGCTTTATGGTTATGTGTGTTGTAGGTAGAAAGTCATGGTGAGTTTAGAAGTGTGTTGGGAGGATTTGATGAATAGTGGTGCTTAAGTCATGCGTAGAGATGCTGAGTGAGTAGACTCATTTGAAAGAGGCTAAAAGTGTAATTCTCCATGGTTTAGAATCACTTTGTGGGATAGATATGAAAAGTCGAATGTTCTAGATGTCTACGATTTGGATTGACTTAAAATTCTCACCTTAAGAGGTGTAGTGAGCTTGGCAAGGTTACTTGTGAGCAAGAGTGCTTAAATGAGAACCTCTCTAATTTAGAAGTACCGATTGGGATCTTAGACCGACAAGTTAAGAAATAGAAGAGAAAGAAAGTGCTTCCATGAAAATGTTGAGGAGTGGTATTTTAGTAAGGGTTTTAGTTGAAGGTTCTTATTTGGGAGGCCAAGAGCCAATGAGATATCCCAATATCCTTATGTTCCCTTTTATTCCTCCTCTAGCTTAAGATGATAAGTTCTCCTTGACTCATTTCTTAATTGTGGAGTCTTGGATGTTATATGTGTCCAATGATTCCCTTGTCCCTTAGAGTTACTGTTGTAAACCTTGGTAGGGTTTGGATGTATGGTTATTAGACCTCTATTGGTTTTAGAGCCCGGTAAGGTTATAATGAGCCTTGGTAATGCTTGAGCTTGTTAGAAAGGGGTAGTATTTGAGGTTTTAGTAAATAGGGGGCTTACTCCAAAGGGGTAGATCATGTGCTTAGATAGCAATATTGATTGAGAGTCCCGATATCCTCATCCTTTTCTTC